TGGGGGGGGGGGGGAGAAACGGATGCCAAGCAGTATTCCTTGTCAAGGCATCCCGTTTATTGAAGCAAGTTTTATGTCTTATATACTCCTCAGTGAGGAGCTCGGGGCAGGGGGAACTGAGGAAGGGGAAGGGGGGGGAGGGACTCCGTAGTTAGGCAGCTAAGCAGGGCAGTTGCAAGGTCAGTGGCTAGGGCACCTGCTGTTAGTGATAAGCAGCAAACAAAGAAGACATTCTGAGGCGCTGTCTGAAGCTGGAATCTCCAAGGTCAGCACCCAGTGTCTTAGTTAACTTTGTAAGTTTTCTGTCTCAAGATTTCCACCTCAAGGCACTGTGAGACGTGAGAAAGGAGAAGCCTGAAATGGCTCCTGACACTTTGACACTAATCTGAATAACCCAGCAAGAGCCCATGTGAAAAATATATAGTATAAAAGTAGTGGAGCAAAGGTAAGAGAACAGGAAGAGGATGAGGAGAGAAGGGAAAACTTGTCGAAGAAAACAAATGTCATTAAACTGTGTTATATTCAGTAGGAAGTTGTCTCAATGACTCTCATTTTATATTAATAGCCAATGTACACCAGGAAATGTTATACTACAAGATAACTATATGACATGGGAGCTTTTAATTTATTTTTTGTAAAGTATGAAAATTGTGATTATCACGTCTATTTACAAGAACAAAGGTACTTTATGCGGTGATGGGTGAACTGTGCTATTTATATAAATTTATGATAAAATGCTGCCGAGAAATTACTAGACACATGTATGTATTATTATAGACTTGAGGAAAAACAGAGTAAAAAAGGTTGATAAATACTAGACTTAATGTTTTCATCTGAACTTTTCTTTTCATACTACATATATTAATAATTTAATTGACTAACAATTTAATTATCCTAGACTCTTAGAACATACAGGTCATCTAAACCAGACTTCATCTGCACAGAAAGTAGAGGTCCTAGCAAATTGGTATTTTTTACAAGATAATGCAACCAGATAAGCACAATAACAATATTTGCTGCAGAAATCTGTAGGCAGCACTGGCCTTAATCATTGGTGAGAGAAAAAAAGTAATGATATTGGTTGTTTAACACTGGGACCCAAGTACTCAATTTTCCATGAAGAGATTTTGGGCTGACAGACACCTTGTAAATCCCAAAAGAAATAGAAATCTCTATTTCTAAAGGCCAAATTCTGCTATTATAAGATATTCTAATGTATAATGTGTTTGCCTGGGAAGACAGTATCAGTGAAAATGTCAAATGCATTGCTCCTTTTAAAAACAAACACAGAGACCTTTCCCTCCCCAGGCAAAATGTCCTTTGTTCGCCTGTAGGTTGACATGAATTGTTCTCCTGGAAAGCATCCTGAAACTCCTCCTCAGTGACACATGTAGGAGTGACCTATAGCACTGCCATTTTCCCGACAGCTAAGATGATGCCTGTGCTGTCTCTAGTGCTTGTCTTAGTCACTTGCTCATCCTTCCTTTGCTTGCTGACATGTCATTTTCCACAAATCACCCACTTTACTCTGTACCCGTGTATGAGATAACAAAAATAAAATAGAATGAACAACTTCAAAAAATAGGATGGAATAATAAAAACATACTTGCTATAGAAGAATGAGGATTTATCAGTTATCAAAACAACAGAAAATTAATATCCTCCATAATTTCTTTTCTAAGAGAGGACAGCACTAAATATTGAATTAACTGAGATTGAGTGTGCACACGTCATCCCAGACTCTGAAGGTGACACAAGGAGGTCAGAAGTCCCATCCAGCCTGGTCTACATAGTGTGATGCTGTCTCAAAATATCATTGACTAGGGATGCTACTCATTTGGTAGAGAGATTACCTGGTGTGTTGGTTAATTTTCTGTTGCTGTCCATGACCAAGATAGCTTATAGAAGAGTTTATCTGGGATTATTGTTCAGAGGGATCAGGGTCTATCGTGGCAGAGGAAAAGGATATGACTGTATCCTCAGCTGAGAGTTCACTCTTGAACCATAAGCAGGAAGCAGAAAGAGTGCAGTTGGAGTGGTTCAAGCCATTGAAATATTAAACTCTATCCCCAGTGATTCTTTTACTCCCACAAAGCCACACCTCCTAAGTATCCCCAAAGAGAACCACCAGTTAAGGATCAAGCATTCAAATGCGCATGACTAGGTGACATCTCATTCAAAACACCTCCTCTAATAAGCCCATGACCCTAGGTTTGATCCACAGCATGAAAGAAGAAATGTGACACCCCCTTTAATCTTTCCATTCTGTATATATTTTTCTATGGGATTCCTGAGCCACACAGTATCTGTTATCTTATATTCATATTTATTTTTTTAATGAATCAAGACTATGTTCTCTGGTACTGAAAGTCTAGTACAATACCATTCTGAGTAGCCTTCTATATTGCCTAGATAGAATATCTTAGTGAGCTGAGGTTTTCCTGCTCTTTGCTAGCATAAGTTATTTCTGTGTCTGTGGTTATAAAGAAGTAAGCCTTGAAGGACCTCGATACAGATGATAGAATTAGATGTGGCCTGAAGTGGAGCTTCAGAAAAATTCCGAGTGTATACAGAGACAGAGACCATATAGGGCCAGAGAAACAAGGAACACTAAGCTGCTTGCAGAGACAGTGAACTTCAGGGCCTGGGGACAACACCATGGGATAGGAAGAAGTTTTGGCTATTAGTGAGAAAGTAAAATTGAGGGGAAAAGTCAGACCAGGCTGGGAGATAAGTAGGAAGCCATTGCATATAAGGAAAATGAGTGAACCTTGGCTAAAGTCAAGGGATAAAAGATGTCAGGGTGAGTATCTTAGTTAGGATTCCTAGTGGTGTAGAGACATCATGACAAGAAAACATTTGATTGTTGGGGCTTGCTTTCAGTTTAGAGATTCATCCCATTATCATCATGGTGAAATAGGGCAGTTTACAGGTAGACACAGTGCTGGAGAGGTAACTGCTACATGTTGATAAGCAGGGAACTAGAAGGGAACTTGATAAGCCTTTTCCCATCCCTTTACTCTGAGTAGGTGCCTGTCTTTGTGTTTGAGGTGTGTTTCTTGTAAACAGCAGAATGTTGGATCCTGCTTTCGTATCCAATCTCTTAGCCTGTGCCTTTTTATAGGTGAGTTGAGTCCATTGACATTAAGTGATATTA